GGAGCGGCTCAAATCCATTGATGAACAAATGAGAGTTGCGTTGTCAACAATTCCACCACGGATCAGTCGCCTGTGTGCAGCTATGCAGGTGCAAGTATCACATTGAAGGTATGAGTAGAATTACTGTATTTACTTTAACAGTAATAGAAGTGTATTTTCTACACTCTACAGTGAATTAAAGTTCATTACTTGTTAATAAATGTACGAGTCGATTTCTGTTTAGTGATAATAAAATAACAATATGATAATGCAACGTGTTTGCAATCCAGAAGAGTCACTTCTATGGAAACGCTAGGAGAGACCGTTGCATAGGAAGTAACAATAGCGATACTGTAAATCCAACAGTGAGCCGTTGTGTCGAGAACATCGAATCTCCATGGTTACGACGAATACGCAAAGCGTTCCCACAGAGACAACGCAATAACAATGGGTCATTGCGTAGGAATCGCGGAACTAACAAAGCAACGTTTCCACTGCTATAACAGAAGGTTCATTTGCATAGCAGCGGCAAGGGGATAAATAGCCCAGCTTCGACGAAAAGCAGTTAGTCTTGGAATATCCGCCGCAGAAGAGAGTCTGCTATAAACCGCCAGAGAAGACAGTCGAGTAGCGGCCGAGACATTGTGTAGGCTAACAATTGTAAAGGGTGTGATTGTGTAAGTGTGAAGAACAACAAAGGTTCTACGGAATTTGAGACCTACGTGAATTTATTTATAGCATGACACGCAAAACACGCTACACTGGTGTCAGAAGTTGGATTGGACTTACACACGTGACAAACAAGATTCGAACTCAAGACACACTACACTGGTGTCAGAAGTGTTTTACAAACTTTAACATGCGTCCTACAACAACAACAACAACAACAACAACAACAAATGGAAATGCAGCAAATGTTGGAACTTCTGCTGAAGAAAATGACAGTTTACGAAGAAAAAGCAGATGTCAACGAGGCCAAGGCCGACGCCAGACACGAAGAAATATTGGGCATAAGAGAAGAGATTAGAACCAACCAGGTCATAACAGATACAAAGCTCGAAGAACTTACGGAGAGAATAGAAAAGACACAAATCGAGCTACATACAGCAGAAATACACCACGACGCGACGGCGAGGAAATTCCGGGAAGATCTCACAAAAAACCCATAACGAAACCTGCAGAAGAATTGAAGAGACCAAACGTGAGTTCCAAGCCAGGTTGGACGAGACAAAGCAGATGAGGGTCGAGGGGTCAAACACGTCAGTAATCAGCACGGGCATAGCTCAGCCACCGACATTTGACGGGATTACGACATGGAGCGTGTTCCGCCGACAATTCGAGGTCGTAGCGGAACACAACCAATGGTCGGACCGGGACAAGGCTACCTACCTAATCACCGCCCTGAAAGGCCGGGCGGCAGACGTGCTACCAGGCATCCCGAAAAACACGGCCTACGAGGACACGCTCCAGGCGCTAGAGGACCGCTTCGGGGACCAACATTTTGCAGCCACCTACCGCTGCCAACTGACAACGAGGATACAGAACCCCGGAGAATCCCTACAAGACTTCGCCACAGCCATCGAAATGCTCGCCCGCCGTGCCTACCCCAACCTACCGGCAGACTACGTAGCAAGGGAAGCGGGGAAAGCATTCACATATGGAATAAGCGACGCTGACATCAAGATCCAGCTGCTGCTGGGAGGGGAGAAGACAGTAAACGAGGCCCTCCGACAAGCCCTAGAGCTGCAGGCCGTACTGGTAGCAGCCAGACCTCACGAAAATAACAACAACACGTACCGGAGTTACCGATCCTTCCCCACCCAACGAAGAGACGCACAACGGTCAAGATGCTGGAACTGCAGGGAGCCGGGGCACTTCGAAAGCAACTGCCACTACGGCAGAAGAAGTGAAAATGGACAGCGCCGGGACGGACAAACTAGAGACAGGGGAGAATCGCCCAGGAGACCAGAGTGGCAGCCCGGTAACAACAAGGAGACAAGCAGGAGAAGTGACCAACTGGCGGGAAACGGGCAAGGGCCGGCGGACAGGGGCGGACGCCGGCGTATGCATTAAGGCCCCTCCCCCCCACTACGCACTCACCGACATCACAGAGAAAGCCAACACCAGCCTGGGTCACCAATGTTGGATGTCGATGTTCTAAGAGACAACCACGTAAAACTATAACAGATGCGTATATATGGGCGATGACAGAGCCGTCGTCTCGATGCGGTTGCTGGAGAGCTGTCGCTGTATCCTGACGTCAGAGTAGATGCGTTAACTGTATTTGTTGTAGTGAGGCCTATCGAAGAAGAACTGATGATAGCGATTTTTGAACTCCGCCTTTAATATCATTGCTTGCTGGGTGCAGCTAAAGTTGCAGTTGCGATTGTGAGCGCTGATTGGCTAGCGCACGTGATGATCTATAGGTGGTCTGGACATCGAGTGCTGGCCGCAATGTGACGTTAACTTGGCTTGAGCAGAAGGTGGATGCTGTCTGTTAGACAGACGAAGCTGCGTCCTAGTATGAGGGGGATCCCACAGTTCATTGCATTTGTCTCTCAGCCTTGTGAGATGCTGTGAGCTCGTGGAAAAGCTTGCTGTTCATCTCCATGAAAGTTTTCAGCACACTGTGCACAAGAGCCACAATTGTTTGGTTCCAGTGCTCTTTGCTGATGTGGCACAAAGCTGGGATAGTTGTTGGCATGATCACATGGATGTTTTCCTCAATCAGGCTCATTATGTGATCATTATTCCAGAAGTACAGTGCACAATGAGCCACCTGAAAGTGAGGACTAGAGACACATCTTGAAATTTGCCTGAAGAAGGGTTCCTGAATTTTGGCGAACTGTGATGGTTCAATTACGTCTAAAATTTCTTCAATCTCCTCAAGGAACATCACCTCTTTTTCACTGCATGTTTTAGGCCAGAACCTGAGTAGCCCTTTAACAACAGGTTCGGTAAGCGTGGCATCCTTTTCAAGGAACTGAACCACACAGTATGCCAGCTGTGCATGGAACGATGACAAACATTTAACTTTGTGCATTGGAAGCAGAACCTTTAGGAGGAATTGCTTGTGTTCTGACTTCAGCGGTAGAGCAAAGCCGTTGATAATGCTTCCTATTATTTCCAGTAACTCGCCAACACCATTAAAATCCTCTGTCTCATATACAAACCCAAGGAAGATGTTACTTATTTGTTTGCGTATGAAAGCACGTAGCCTCGGGAATTTCTCATAGATGTGATGCAGGACAGTCTTAAGGAAATGACGCTTTGTGCCAAATTTTTCTGCCGCTTCGGCATACCTCGGGAGTTGCACAGTGACCAAGGCCGTAACTTCGAATCTCACCTACTGCAAGAAGTTTTGCAACGCCTGGGAGTAATCAAGACGCGCACAACACCCTTCCACCCACAGTCGGATGGCATGGTAGAACGTTACGCCAAGACCATCGAGGAACACTTGCGGAAGGTCGTCGCATCCCACCAGAGGGACTGGGATGAGAGGTTACCCCTCTTTCTCCTAGCTTACAGAGCATCCACTCACGACACTACAGGCTTGACCCCTGCTAGCCTAGTATTCGGTCGAGAGCTCCGACTACCTTGCGACCTGCTGTTTGGGGTACCCCCAGGCAAAGAACTAACCACAACCGATTATGCAACGGACTTGGTGGAGCATCTGCACGACGCCCACAATTATGCACGACGGCACCTGAAGCTTGCCAGTGACCGGATGAAAACTCGGTACGATAAACTGGCCAATTCCGCAGGTTACGACGAAGGCGACAGAGTTTGGCTCTATCGCCCAACCCGAAAGAAAGGGAAATCGCCGAAACTACAAGCGTCGTGGGAAGGCCCTTACAAAGTAGTGACCCGGATAAATGATGTGGTATACAGAATCCAAAAGAACCCTAGGCCGAGGGTGTTGGTTCTACACCTCAACCGGCTCGCGGCCTACTATGGAGCTGCTCGGGACGAGCACAACTGAAGAGAGGGGCGGATGCGGTAAAATGACCAGCGCAATAAGACGCGCAAAGGACACCAAGGCCGAATGCAGACGTTGCCAACAGAACACCGCGGAATCGAAACCGAGGGAGAACCATTAGGCTGTTCGGGGATGAACAACCTTTAGAAGGGAGCGATGCAACGTGTTTGCAATCCAGAAGAGTCACTTCTATGGAAACGCTAGGAGAGACCGTTGCATAGGAAGTAACAATAGCGATACTGTAATCCCAACAGTGAGCCGTTGTGTCGAGAACATCGAATCTCCGCGGTTACGACGAATACGCGAAGCATTCCCACAGAGACAACACAATAACAATGGATCATTGCCTAGGAATCGCGGAACCAACAAAGCAACGTTTCAACTGCTATAACAGAGGGTTCATTTGCATAGCAGCGGTCGAGGGGATAAATAGCCCAGCTTCGACGAGAAGCAGTTAGTCTTGGAATATCCGCCGCAGAAGAGAGTCTGCTATAAACCGCCAGAGAAGACAGTCGAATATCGGCCGAGACATTGTGTAGGCTAACAATTGTAAAGCGTGTGATTGTGTAAGTGTGAAGAATAATAAAGGTTCTACGGAATTTGAGACCTACGTGAATTTATTTGTAGCGTGACACGCAAAACACGCTACAATAACATAGTAATAAGTTGATCACGTTACGTATTTATATTAACTGTCTGATATCATGCGTTTTTTAGGGGAATAACATTTGGTGTGCCGTGTTGAGTCATGGATACTTCATGGTGTGCCGCGAGTAGAAAAAGGTTGCGGAACACTGACTTAGACCATAACACATACTTACTGGTCAGACATGTAATTAAATTAATTAATTAATGTAATTAAATCTTAAGTGCATAATTTTAATTGTGAAAATACTTTGCTTGAATTCTGGAGATAATCATACACCAAAATAATTAAACCATCTGATACAGCATGTATGATATATGATTGATTGATGCAGCGATGGTCATGCCAATATCATTCACCTGACTTGAGGTTGATGTCCATCGATCTGAGGTCCCAGGCCTTAAGGATCGTGACCGTGAGCCTGTCACTGGGCACATAGCACAGGGACATCAGCAGGTCACCATATTCTGTCGCTGGCTTCAAAGGCTCACAGAAGGACTGCTTCTCCCGCAGGTCCACCTACAACACAGTTTGATGCATGAAAATTTTTTCATCTTCATCTTGCGGTACATAATTAACTAGTAATAATGAAACTGTATCATCAAAATTATGATCTTCAGGCATGTGATGTCATGTAGTCTAGTGTGTTGTTTCCAGCTTTAAACATACAAGAATAAGCTGGTTGTAGCAAGGAGTGGCACAGATACAGGGAGAGGAAAGATTGGACAAGGGTCCTGTCATGTCCCAGAAAACAGTCACTCTCAAAGTCTCTGCCATGAGAATGTGAATTTTTGTTAACTCTGTAATGAACATTGAAAATGTGCAACATTAAATCAGTTTAGTTTGATACTAACTACATAGAGATCAGTCACATAATGCTTCAGTGCTAAGCTAACATTTCTACTCCACATCCACTTGCTACTCTTACAAGCATGGTCTTGACAATGAAGTAGTTGTCATGACATTACCATAAGCCTGACTGGTTTGATTTAATTCATTGATTGATTGGTTGGTTGACTGATTGTCAGTTATTTAATCATGCTATTTCAATTTCCATCTCATACACTATTAATTAAGAGATGAAATAAATGATATAAACTCTGTCTCAAGTGCAAACAATATATTTTGTGNCGATTAACAGATGAAAATTATCCAATGCCTTCTTTCTTCCTGAAATATTTCTGTTTTCATTTCTTGCCAGTTCATTCCTGTCTTTATGTCCTCCAGTACCTGGCTAAATCATTTTTACTTGGTCATCCAATAGGTCTCCAGCCATACTATGGTCCTGGGGTTAACCCAGCCTCTAACAGAAATGAGAACCAGGAATCTTCCTGAGAGTAAAGGGTTCCCGGTGCATAACGCTGACAACCTCAACACCATCTGTGAGCTGATTGTCTAGAATATGTGGAAGACTTGACATCTCACAACCCTATGGGCCTCCATGGCCTCTTACAGGGATAGTTTACCTTTTTACCGTTTACCCTATTACTTTACATGGCTAAACCAATGTAATAATTTTTCTTTTAACCCAGATAATAAATCATTCTGAATTATTTTTTTGTTTAAAAAATACACATCCAATTCTATTTTCCCTTATGCTTGGTTGAATACTTCTCAAAAATGTAATACCCATAGCTTGGATTTTGATGCAGTTATTCTTTGTTAGAGGCTGTATTTCAGCATAATCTACTAGTGTCCGTGCAAAATGTATTTTATAGATTGACTGATCCAACTGTGTATGTTGTGTAGTATCACAGTAGAATGATTTGTACATAATACATAATAAACAAGGACTAAGTATAGTGACTGGCCGCGCCATAGCTCAAGTGGTTAGTTGCTGGCTTCCCACCGTG